CCTCCGCAACGCGGCGCAGGTGACGGTGCCAAACCGGAGCGCAAAACGCCCAGGAGAGCCCCCGGGCGCCCCCGCCTCCCTTCTAGTGGTGGTGGTGGTGGTGCTTTGATCCGTTCGCCTTCCATTGCGTTCCTCCTCTCCCCCTCCGCTTTGAGACAGGCAGAAATTCAACAGGCGACGCGCTCCCTTGCTCCGACTGTATCAATGGGGAGGAGTCCTCGCAAAATTACAAACCGGAGCGCAAAACGCCCAGGAGAGCCCCCGGGCGCCCCCGCCTCCCTTCTAGTGGTGGTGGTGGTGGTGCTTTGATCCGTTCGCCTTCCATTGCGTTCCTCCTCTCCCCCTCCGCTTTGAGACAGGCAGAAATTCAACAGGCGACGCGCTCCCTTGCTCCGACTGTATCAATGGGGAGGAGTCCTCGCAAAATTAAGAGCGGTCCTCAAATATGCCTCGTGTCACAAGTCACAGCTCTTTGTTTTATTTCAGCTCTTCCATTTTTAGGTCAGCGTTACTATGAGGAGCTGGGAAAAATTAGGCCCCCCCCTCTTGCCAAACCCTTCTGTCTGCACAACCGTCCCAGCGGGTAGGATATGCTTTGCATGAGAAGAACAAGAGGATGACCAAATACAAGAGTTGGAGACAACTTGATGGCACATATCAACAACAAAGCCTAAGTAGATGATGAAGGGAATGGAGGATGCCTCTACCCCCGCCCCCCAGTTTGGGCTGAGGCACCCCCTATGCTTGGTCTCCAAGCTGCCTGTGCTGCAAGGTTGCCAAGCTGTGGTCCCAGATGCTGGTCTTGTTGAATTCACCCGCTCTTACTCCCGGTGAGTAGCAGGGCTGTAGCCTGAAAGAATACTGGTTGCCCCCCTATTCCCATCTTGGCCACCCTGTTTACATTCTCCCCTCCCTTCCCTCGGCCTGTTTAAAATCAATCAATCTGTCAATTCAGGATAAATATCCATGGCTCTGATCTTTGGAAGGCTATGACATGATAAATAAATAAGTCTTGTTTTCCAGTGCTGCAAGAACAATGATATCCATGGGGGGAGGGGAAATAAGTATAGGGAAGCCTTTATTTAAATCCTCAAGCTTCTGATCCCAACAGAATCTTAGAACTGCAGAGTTAGAAGGGGCCACATGAGTCGCTGAGTCCAGGCCCTGTCAAGGGAGGCGCAAGAATCGAACTCCGACCTCTGGCTCTTCAGCCAAATGCCTACACCACTGACTTGTACCTCCAAGTGTTAAGCAAACTTTCCTCTCTTCTCCATAGCGTTGGAATGCATGTGATGAAATGAAAGCATGTGAAGGAGGGATCCTCCAAATGCTGCCCTGACTTATTTGCACCCTTTAGCAAACGGATGGGCAAGCTTCAGCTGGCTGGGGTGACCTTTTTTAAAAAAAACACTACAACTTCAAGATCTACCCACTAGAGCTTGGTATAAAAGACATGTATCAAACAATTATGACTCAGGAATTGGTTTTAATTGTTCAAACTGACAGAGCTTTTAGCCACCGGATGCCACGCCTGCTTAACGCAACTTTCCTTAGTCTCTACAGTATAAATACAAACATTTAATGGGGTCTAGTAATGTGTAGCTGTTATTCAGAGCTAGATTAAAACGTACTGAGATCCTAAGTCACACCTAGTATGTGAATCCCCAGAGCAGTACTCAAAATATACATTACTCTAACAATTTTGTAAAATGTCAAATATACATAAATAAACAAGCTTGTATTTAGAGGCCCTACTATAGCCTATTTGTCTTATGACTAAATCTAGCCCTGTCACTTATGGACTGAAATTCTGTTGTTTAGTATAGTAAATTGCACTAGAGTAGGCCCATTGAATCAGTAGGGATTGGGTGAGCCTACTTTAGCTGTGACTTACCATGCTAAAATAAATTGCAAATCAAGTAAGGTAAAGGTTCCCCTTGACAATTTTTGTCCAGTCGTGTTCGACTCTAGAGGGGGTGGTGCTCACCCCCGTTTCCAAGCCATAGAGCCAGCATTTGTCCATAGGAAGTTTCTGTGGTCACGTGGCCAGCGTGACTAGACTCAGAATGCCGTTACCTTCCCACCGAGGTGGTCCCTATTTATCTACTTGCATTTACATGCTTTCGAACTGCTAGGTTGGCAGGAGCTGGGACAAGCGACAGGCGCTCACTCTGTCGCGTGGATTCGATCTTACGTCTGCAGGTCTTCTGACCTTGCAGCACAGAGGCATCTGCGGTTTAACCCGCAGCGCCACCAGGTCCCCTCTGCAATTCAAGTAGGACCGCTTTAATCAATTACACTTATGGAGGAGTTGACTCACCAAATCCCCACTGATTCAACGGGCCTACTTTACTGCAACTTAGTGTGCTAAGCAACAGAATTTCAGCCATGTTAAAAAAGCAGGAGTGAAAAATTCTTGCTGGATCCCTCCCAGTCCACTGTTATACCTTGACTGGTCCTCTCTTGCCAACTCTGAATTGACCTTTCTTTAGGTCTCAGCTCTAGATCTCTTGGCTAGGGTGCAGCTCCTTGGGCCTGTCCTCTGCCCTGCAAGGTCACTTTGCCCTGCTGACCTGCTGCTCCCTCTCAGGGCTGCTTTCCAAGTGTTAGAAGCATGCTGGGAGGGAGGGGGGGAGGGAGTCGCTAGATGGCCTCAGGCCATGATCTCCCGATTCCTGCACAAGCCGAACCAAGAGCCATTTGTCCCTCCTAAAGAACTTCATTCCTTCCAGCTTGGGACTGTATTCTCCTGACTCAGAGCTTAGGTTTGGAGTTTGGATGCAGTTCTTGGATCTGACTTAGACAATGAAATCTGAGAATGGAGTATGTGCACTATTACATTTAATTAAGTGAAGTGAACCCTGGAAAACTGTTCAAGCCACCACAGGCTTCCCATGTCCAGCTGTCTGGCTCTCTTTTATGCTGTTCAAACTCCTGCATAGTATTCAAGAACTAGCTACCTTGCAGGCGGCAGCTTAAACAGAGAGTGATATCAGCCTGTTCTGTCATATGCCACTTCTTTATGGCCAGAGACTGTATTTTTTTGCCCTTCATCCAACCTGCAGGAGTCAAATAAGGATCCAATGGAGATTTGGCTAGCTGCTCTACAGTGGTTGCATCAGTAAGGCTTCCTCATGCTTCTGAGAGAGATTATTTACTAACCATGTGGCCTCCATTCCCCAGTCTTTGGGTCCTTGATAGCTTGTTCCAAGGCTGGACAACTATGTCCAGATGTGGTTTTAAATTCTGAAAGGGAGCTCAAAAATGCTAGAAGCTTTTTAAAAATTATCCTCTGTATTTATTTATTTATTTATTTATTTATTTGGCTTTTACCCCCGCCCACCTAGATTCAAACAAATCTACTCTGGGCAGCTTATAGGGATGCACATAAGTTTCACCCCAACCTCTCCCCCAGATGTCAGTCAGCCCATTGTGTATTCCGCATAAAGTTCTGCGGAGGTCCGTGTAAGTGTGTTCAGCTGATCTTGAACAGCACTATCACAGAAGCACTGCAAGTGTGTTCAGCCACATGCAGTAAGATATGTCTTCTCAGACCTTCATGCTCAATGTGCAAAGATCTCGTTGGCATCTTACAGACAATCCCCCATCCCCACCACAGTTTCCACTTCCAGGTTACAACACAGAGCTACATACCAAGAAGGCTACAACAGAGTTCAAAGAGAACAGGGCATCTTGAAGGGTGTGAAGGTGGTGTTATCATCCCTGCTCATCAGAAAGACTCTGCAAATCCTGGCTCCACAGCACTGTGGTTCAATGCAGGCAAACAAGAACCAGAGTTCAAGATACTGATATAGATTTTGTGTGGATAAGTACTGCAGGCTGACAACAAAGACTGGTTGTCTAACAGCACAGAAGAGTTGAAGCAGATGCATTTGTGAAGGTTATCATGATTAATGGGGCAGCCTGGTGCAAGGGGAAACTTATGCCCTAGATTCCTGGGTCTGCGTGGTAACCTTCTGCATTGTATCTCAGACTGTGCAACATAACTTAAAGACTGTACACCACCAGGACAATGTGGGGAATCTGATGGTGTCCCTCAGCATTGGTACAACCAGGTAATTTTAGAACATGGTCTTAATGATCTTACAGAAAGTGCATTTGGACAGCTACACATGTTACAGACAAAAATAGGCAGAGATGAAGCATGTAAAAGAATAGGATAGTAAAGATCAATTTAAAAATACAGTTAGGTTCCCACACACACCCCAAAAAGAATGTGTTAAAATTCATTGATTAAAAGCTTTTCTCTTTAAAAAAAACAATCAGTTGTAGAACATCTGCTGGAATAAAACAGTCTTAGTCACCCCACCAAAAGATAAAATGAAGGGAGCCTTCCTTCACATGGAAGGGAATTATAGAGCCAAGGAACAATGGCTGCGAAGGCCTTCTCAGAACTTTTTTTGTGTTTGTAGTTTAGCTCCTAGAGAGATTTCTTAAACACACAGCTATAAGCTGAGAAAGCCAACACTGGCTATACCTGTTTTTTAAAAAGCAAATCTGGCTCAGGTTAGCAGCCGGTCCATTTGCACTAAGTAGCCTAGATAATTGTGGAATTTCTAAAGCAGTCTTCAGATGGATAAGGTACAACATTGTCAGTGGTAATTAGGCAGGATGTAAGGCTAGACATGGAGCAACCCCTGTGCAAATGGAATTCCACCCTCAAATCCCTCCCCCCACGCTTCTCTTTTTTCTTGCAGTGCTCATGATAATCAGATTT